CAGACACACACACATTACGGAGACATACACACACAAAGACAAAGACACACACAAAGACAAACGCACACACACACATCACGGAGACACACACACACACAAAGACCAACGCACACACACAAAACGACAAAGATCCCCCGTGTTGCCTTAACAGACTGTTGGGGCAAGTGCTGCTATAGCGAGCACTTACAGTGATGTAAAAACATCGCCACTAGGGAGACAAAGGCGGCCGGGCATGGTGTCGGCCACCTACCCCCTCGTGTGCCCTGCCGGCCTTTATACAGTGAGGGAAAAAAATATTTGATCAGTCTATAATTTTAATGGTAAGTTTATTTGAACAGTGAGAGACAGAAAAACAACAAAAAATCCAGAAAAACGCATGTCAAAAATGTTACAAATTGATTTGCATTTTAATGAGGGAAATAAGTATTTGACCCCTCTGCAAAACATGATTTAGTACTTGGTGACAAAACCCTTGTTGGCAATCACAGAGGTCAGACGTTTCTTGTAGTTGGCCACCAGGTTTGCACACATCTCTGGAGGGATTTTGTCCCACTCCTCTTTGCAGATATTCTCCAAGTCATTCAGGTTTCGAGGCTGACGTTTGGCAACTCGAACCTTCAGCTCCCTCCACAGATTTTCCATGGGATTAAGGTCTGGAGACTGGCTAGGCCACTCCAGGACCTTAATGTGCTTCTTCTTGAGCCACTCCATTGTTGCCTTGCCGTGTGTTTTGGGTCATTGTCATGCTGGAATACCCATCCACGACCCATATTCAATGCCCTGGCTGAGGGAAGGAGGTTCTCACCCAAGATTTGACGGTACATGGCCCCGTCCATCGTCCTGTTTGACGGTGGGGATGGTGCTCTTGGGGTCAGAGGCAGCATTCCTCCTCCTCTAAACATGGCGAGTTGAGTAGATGCCAAAGATCTCCATTTTGGTCTCATCTGACCACAACACTTTCACCCAGTTGTCCTCTGAATCATTCAGATGTTCATTGGCAAACTTCAGACGGGCATGTATATGTGCTTTCTTGAGCAGGGGGACCTTGCGGGCGCTGCAGGATTTCAGTCCTTCACGGCGTAGTGTGTTACCAATTGTTTTCTTGGTGACTATGGTCCCAGCTGCCTTGAGATCATTGACAAGATCCTCCCGTGTAGTTCTGGGCTGATTCCTCACCGTTCTCATGATCATTGTAACTCCACGAGGTGAGATCTTGCATGGAGCCCCAGGCCGGTTCAGATAATCGGCACCGGTGTTGGCCGTGGGCGGGAATCGAACCCGGGTCGCCAGGTTTGTAGCGCAGCGCACTAACCGCTACACTACCACTCCCCACTAGAGCACAGACACAACAACAACCGCCATTCGCCACTAAGTGGCGGTGACGTCACACGACGCTTGTGCCAGGCCATGTGCACCCTGATGCCACGTGAAGTGTCGAACGCCCGCGGGCAGGAGGTCACGGGGCAGACCCAAGTGCCACGGGTCGACTAAGATAACTGAGCACAGACACACACACAGACACACACACAGACACACACACCGACACGTACACATCCCCCCTCCCCCCAACCTTGAGTGGCTGAAAGAATGAAATTGTCCCCCGAGTAACAATGGTGTCTGGGGCTCGCTCACCGTGTAAGGGGACACGGCAAGCGGTCGGGGGATTCACATCGGCACGCGAGATGCTCTCAACGTGAAGACCATTCCCTTCCCTGTGTGTGCGTGCGTGTGTGAATATAGGTTTTTAAATATATATTTATATATTAAAAAAAACTGGTGCGGTGTGTAAATATTTCCACTGGGGAGACAAAGGCGGCCCGGCGTGGTTGCACGTTCATCCACCCTCTCGCGTGTGGCCGTGCCGTGCCGGCCTTCATCGGTGCTCCTCGCTAACAGCACTTGCCCCAACAGTATGTTAAGGCTATATGGGGGATCTTTGTCTATAGATGTATACTGAATGTGTAACAGAGTACCTGGTGCGGTGTGTAAACATCACCACGAGGGAGACAAAGGCGGCCGCGCGTGGTGCTGCCCTATCAGTGTGTTTAAGGATACACGGGGGATCTTCGTCTTGATGTCGATGTGTAAAGGAGTGGTGGTGTTGCGGTGAGCGCGCTGCGCTACGAACCCGGCGATCCGAGTTCGAATGCCCCGCTCGCGGCCACCACAAACACCAGTGACGATTATCCGAAGCGAATCATTCGGCATTGTCATCAGGGTCATGGTCATCATCATCATCACAATCATCGTCATTGCTATAATCGTAATCGGACCAACTTTTGTGATCGTGCTGAGGCTGCTGCTGCTGGAACTGTTACTACCCCAGAAGTTCACCACCCAGACCTAGATGAACGCCGCTGCTGCTGTCATGACCCCAGAAGTTCTCCACCCAGACCCAGATGAACGCCGCTGCTGCTGATGTCACTAACCCAGAAGTTCACCACCCAGACCTATATGAACGCCGCTGCTGCTACTGTCACTATCCCAGAAGTTCACCACCCAGACCCAGATGAACGCCGCTGCTGCTGATGTCACTACCCCAAAAGTTCACCACCCAGACCTAGATGAACGCCGCTGCTGCTGTCACGACCCCAGAAGTTCACTACCTAGAGTCCTAGACCCAGATGAACGCCGCTGCTATGCGAACAGAGTGGAACAACGCGGACCTCCAGAACAATAAACATCTCCTCATTCGAGACACAAACATCCTTGCACCACCACCACCTCCTCCTCGTGGCTGACATCCCCCCATCAACCACCAGTGACGATTCTCTGAACCGGTCCTTGGCCTCCCCCTCCCCTAGGTCGACTCAGCCTTGAGTACCCGGTGCGGAGTGTAAACATCGCCACTGGGGAGACAAAGGCGGCCGGGCGGGTGGTTCTGGCCACGCCACCCCCTTCGTGTGCCGTTCCGTACCTCAGCAGGTGCTAGGCCACAGCACATACTTGCCCCCAACAGTCTACGCAGGCTACACGGGGGACCTTTGTCTTTATGAATATGCAACACGCATACACGCACCTGCTGGATCGCTTATCCGTGCTCGAGTCAATGATACCTCAGGAATGTGAAATTCAACTTTATATAATCACGCGAACGGTATTCGGACCCACTGCCAGCCGGGAGGCTGCACTGGCCAATGGCTTCGGCACGTGGTTGCCCGTGACCCAGCACTGCTGTGGATGCAGCAGCGAGGGGGTTGGTGGATCACACACAGATGGACGTGAAACCGCCTTCCCACGTGGGTGTCGAGGTTTGTCGTAACCCCCCGGCTGTGGCAGGAGTGTGTGATTACTCGCGCACAGCAACGCGTATCTGTGCGGGGGATAGAGTTGCTGGGCCCCCTCGCACGCGGTTTTCTTCGGGCGCTCCGGTTTTACTCCCACACGTAAAACACGCGTTCACCGACCGATGCCGCCTTAATATATAGAGGACTGCAGAGCTTGGACGAGGTGTGATGGCACAGATGATGAGGTGGTGATGGTACAGCGGTGGAGGTTTAGTTTGTGATATTACAGAGGCGGTGAAGGTGTGATGGCAAAGACGATGAGGTGGAGTGGTGGGGATGATAAAGCCACTTTGTTGAGCTATCATTTGTGGCCAGGTCGCTTCTGAAAAACAAGTTAACACCTCAGTGGGCTGCGCCTGGCAGCATGGGGATAGTTGAGTTTTATTTGTGTTCGGGCGATTTATTTACCTTTCCTTTACTTTCCACTACTCTCGTGTTTTGGTAGCGATGGTTGTTGTCACGTTCTCACTTCGTGCCCCTACTGGATATGTGAAAAAAGAGCTTAATAGCTCATCGGATTCCTCCAGTGTACATAAAAAAAATATATATATTCTGATAAAACTCATTCATTTTCAGAAAACGTCTGAAATAAAAACAAATTCGACAAGAGAACCCTCCGAAACAAAATATATATACAGTATACGACTCCGTGTGGCACGACTGGATATCCGATACGGAAATGAAACAAGCAAATGCCAATTGTGCAGCGCTGCACCACCGCCACCTGCTGCCACGAGTTCATCAGTTCAACTCGATGGAACGGAAAACTCTGCGAGCACAAACACTATGCAACACGGTATTTTTTTTTCCTGGGTAGTAAGTGTTATTTTCTAATTGCTTATGCCTCAAAAGTATAGAAAATGGCTATTATTCCCCACAAGCTTAGCTTTTGTGACCAGGACATGATGTGAAGGAATTACGCAAATGCACACCACGTTTTCTCATTGAAAATTAGTTTACATTTCAAAATCTCACTGCCCTGGTCAGAAAAGCAAAGTTTGTGAGGAATAATAGCCACTTTCTGCACTTTTAAGGCATAGGCAATTTGGAAAAAACACTTACTACCCAGGAACAAAAAATGTATAATTTGTTACACAGTGTTATTAATGGAGTGGATTACTAACTTTGCCTTTGTGTCCTGGTCACAAAAGCAAAGTTTGTGGGGAATAATAATAGCCACGTTCTGTACCTTTGAGGCATAAAGCAATTAGAAAAAAACAACAACACTTTACTCTACCCAGGAACATTTTTTGTTGTTGTTCCACGGTGAAATCACCTGGCGACTGCTGCGTTGGGTTCCCAGCCAGCGAGCGCGCAGGCCAGAGCTAACAAAACCAAATAAGTCGAGCGGGGGGAGAGGCTTTCGCGACACGCGAAACCCGATTGTCAAAACCGAATAAGCTCGAAGGAGTCGCGCGACGGGGCACGTGCCGTCATCCCTCGACCTTCCCACGGGGGAGGTCAGCCGCGAAGCGATCCTCCGTGGGAGTTCTGGCGGTAACGCCCCCCCCGCCCGCCCCGTTTCCGCGGAACGTTCGTTCCCCGGACGCGAAGGGGGTCCCCCCTCTCGGCACCGCTCTGCGGGAGTCCCGGACCGGCTGTTGTTTTGCAGGACCCGGCGCGGTTGGGGTAACGTCGTTTGTGAAGGCTTCCTGTGGTGGGGGGGGGGGGACGGGGGTGACGCTCAATCAACGGGACGGCAAATCGGCGATGGACGGCAAACCGTTCCTGGGATAGAAGTTTTATTGGTGTCAAGTGTAGTGCACGGCACGCACGCGCGCGTGTGTGTGCGTGCGGTTAAGAGAGGGAGGCTTTGCAAAACGAATCCCCTGACGCCCGGCTACGTTTCGCGTCGATCGGTACGCTACCAAAAAAGGAAAGGGGGGGGGTGGGGGGTGGGTGGTGGAACAAAAAAAAAACCGAAACAGCTCGACGGAAATCGTTAATTCGGAATTAAATATTACACCCACAGAGAAACACCATACCGCAGCCTCTTTAAGAAATCGTTATAAAATTACACCATATTGAAAAATGTATACACCTAGATTAAAAATTAACCATTACATGATTAAAAATACTTTAACCCCATTGTACTAAAATATATTTCATTTCATCTAAAATACAGACATTGCATTATCGACGTCGATCGGTTAACAGTTGAAACACGAACAAAAAAAAAGCAAGCTTCAAGAATGAGCGACCGCTGTGAATTCCGGTTAGAAAAAGTAAAAATAAAAATCTCCGGTGGAGGTGGCGGCAACATCGCAAACGCAATGTTGCCGGCCGACACGTGGACTCCTGGAGAGGCGGACGATCACGCCCGGCGGCAGCAGGGCCCGCGACGCTCGCACGCCGATCGGGAGAACCGACAAACGGCGAGCCAATGATGAACCAACGACGATGAACCAACGACGATGAACCAACGACGATGAACCAACGACGATGAACCAACGACGAGCCAAGGATGGGCCAACGATGAACCGACAACGATGAACCGACAAAGATTTGCCAACAACTCCCAGAGACCTCCCCACCACCCCAGCAACTCCAAACCACGCGGGCGTGTTATCGATAATGGAGTGTCCGCTGGAGGAGTGGGGGGGGGGGGCAGCAGGCAGCACTGAGGAGCAGGGGGGGTGGGTGGTGAAACACAGCAGCGATGGCTGGGTCCTAACACCAACCCCTCCACCCCCAACCTCCTCCTCCCTCCTGGCGTGTTCCGTGAGAATCGGCGACGCGCAAACGGTGCGCTGCTAACACCAACCCGCAGGAAGGAGGCCCTGGTGGGGGAGGGGGGGGGGTCCCCATCAACTCCTAGCTACGTTGCCCCCGCCCCCCCACAGCCTTGTCCAGACCACTAGCTCAGCGGAGGCCGAGTGTGCTGTGGCCGAATCGTTGTTTAGGCGGCCGATTCGAGGAAGGATTTGAGAAACCCAGGCAACCACCCCCTGCCGCCGCCGCTGCTGCTCATCTAAAGTGGCCACTACACCGCCGCCGCCGCCGCCGCCGCCAACCTCCCACGCCCCCCTCCCCCCCCACGCCAAACTCGTAAATTAAAAATAAATCTGGCGTGACAGCGGCAATGCCACGACCGGCTCTAGGAGTTTGCCAAGGTCCAGGAGTTACCCCCCGCGCCATAAATATACAGTATATCCGGCCGACTTGTCTTAACCGCTCCCGCCCGCATTCGTTTTCAAATGGTAAACGGTACCACGTCTGCTGGGGGGGGGTGGGGGGGTTGTGGCGGTGGGGGTGTGGGCTGGGTTACCTTGCCTGACAGCAACAGCAGCAGCAGCAGCCAGTCAGGGTCATCTTAACTCGAGACACAAGGCCAAGAGAGATGACGACGACTCGTCGGGTGACTTTGCCAGCGGGTATAAAACAATCAAGCGGTGGGGGGTGTGATACGTGAGAGACGACTACTCGAAAACATTTCTTTAAGGCATCACCGTGTCCTACGATTTGAGATCGGTGCGGGGGAGAATCCGTGGTACGATTAGCGCTGCTACAAAAGTATCGCTGCCGTGAGCGATCACCGGCGAAGGAGCCCCCCCCCCCCCCGACCTTGTTGTGCTTGGCGACAAGACTTGGGGGGGGGGGGGAGGCAGGGGGAGGTCGCACCGCCCAAGGCAAGAACATCGTCACGCACTCCGAGCCGCGGCAGCGCCGGCTCGGAAGCCGAGCAAGCGACGCCCTCCCCCACCCACCCCCACCCAAGGTCTGGATTATCAGAGGCGTAAAGGCACGGACTGGCGGGAGCCTGAGGGGTAACGGGCTCGACGTTTAGCTGAAGGGAAGAGGCATTGTGCGTGTGTGCGTCGCACCTGGGGGCACCGCTTCCGTGACCTCCTGCCAGCGTTTGGCCTTCGACACTTCACGTGGCCCCAATGTGCGTCTACGCACGGCACAAGCGCCACGGTGACGTCGCCGCCACTTAGTGGTGAACGGCGGTTGTTGTTGTTGTTGTCGTGTGTGTGTGCGAGAGTGCGTGCGGCGAATAACGGCTGTTGTTGTTGTTGTTGTATTTGTTGGGGGAGCGGTAGTGTAGCGGGCAAGCGCACCGGACTTCGATTCCCGCTCACGACCAGTAACAGTGGCGATTTATCTGAACTGGCCCTGGGCCTCCCCTTGGGTCGACTGAACCTTAAATGAGTACCTGACGCGGTGTGTAAACATCACCACTGGGGGAGACAAAGGCGGCCCCGGTCTTCGTGCTGGCCACACCACCGCCTCGTGCGCCGTGGCGGCTTTCATAGGCGCTGCTACACGCTAACAGCACTTGCCCCACAACAGCGTGTTGAAGAAGGCTATGTGGGGGGGATATTTGTCTTTACGTGCGGTGTGTGAATCCGTTGGGGTCTCCGTTGGCGAGCGACGGGTTTGGGGGAGAGAGAGGGAGAGAGAGAGCGAGGGAAGGTAGGTTCCAGGAGCCGTCGGTTAACTCTGCGGAACAAGCGGGAGGGGAAGAGACAACTCGGGATGAGACGAAACCGACGGGAGCTCTTCGGAGCATATAGCAGCAGTGGCAGCATCAGGGGTAGCAGCAGTGGCAGCATCAGGGGTAGCAGCAGTGGCGGCATCAGGGGTAGCAGCAGTAGCAGCAGCAGGGGCGGTAGCAGCAGTAGCAGCTGCAGCAGCAGGAGAAGCAGGGGTCGTAGGGGCAGCAGTAGCAGCAGTAGCAGCAGCAGCAGCAGGAGCAGCAGGGGTAGTAGGGGCAGCAGTAGCAGAAGTGGCAGCAGCAGCGGTAGCAGCAGCGGTAGCAGCAGTGGTAGCAGCAGTGGTAGCAGCAGTAGCGGCAGCAGGGGCGGTAGCAGCAGTAGCAGCAGTAGCAGCAGCAGCAGCAGCAATAGCAGCTCGACGCGATAGACGCGACGCTACACGCCGACGACACCCGAACCCCGCAGAAGCGGTGGGTCGCTCCTCCGCACCGTGGTGCCACTCTCCGCCACTCGCGGGTTCCCGGGAGAATCACTCCACGGTGCGCGCGGCCCCACATCGGATTCGCGCAAACGACAAGTTTGGGGGGGGGGGGAAATCAACACGCGCGGTTGCCGTTGTGGACGACGTAACGGCACGCAAAGCCGACGAGCCCTGGTTTGTCTCTCTCCAGAGAATTCGAGCAACGCTGTCAATTAAAATCATTTCTTTGTCTCTCTCCGCGCTGCCATCTACCGACAACAAGGTGGCGGAAACGTAACGTGACGAGGAAGGCGCCGGTTTAGCAACGAATGAGAGCACTTACATCTCCGCGCAAAACGAGTTTCCATCCTGCTTCTCGAGTCAGGGCGCCTACAGAGCGGAAGGGTGAGGGGGGTGGAAGTGATGGTGTTAGCGTGCTCATCCACACATCATGACTTCCCCATCCTCTCACATTCTCCCCTTGCCATCCTCTTATTGCAAGACCCTCCACCACCCGACACAGCCAAACAAGATGAGATTGTCGTGCTGACAAGCACATCCAACGCTACCAATCACCATCATCATTATTATTATTTTTAACGCTTTGGCTCGTGAGCTAGAGTGGGGGGGAAGACGCGACAGTTCTCACAACCACGTTCCCCCGCGCTACATAAGGACGGGCGCTAGTTTTGCCAGCGTCGCCGGCGTCGCCAGCATTTCACCGCCGGACAACCGGGGCAGCGTGCGGGGCAGCAGGCGAGTAAAGGGGGGGGGGGGGCAGAGTGTGGGGCAGTGTGCGACCCCATCCCTCACCGGCTTGGCTCCCACGCGACCACCGGCCTTGGCCTCCGCAGCAGCCGCCGCCGCTGCCGCGTTGGACGAGCTCAGAGTCTCCTGGATCTCCTCCAGCACGGCTGGGATGGGGAGGGGGCGGGGGGGACAATCGGCGCTCCGCGTTACACGCGCGCCCCCGCGCGACACAAAGACAAAGATCCCACACCTCTTACCCGTACAGACTCTTACAGGCTGTGGGGGGGGGGGGAGTGCTGCGTCGGCCGCAACCACGGGGTGGGTGGCAAACAACACGCTCGGCTGGCTAATCGGAGTCGCTGCTGCTGCTGGTGGTATGAATGATGAGTAACAAAACTGCTGAAATGATGCGCTCCCAGGAGGACAGCCAGGTGGCTAAATTATTTATTTTCTATGTTTTTTTTTTCCTCCCCCCCCCCACGTGGAGAGACAGACGCTGTGGCGCAAGGGAGGAATGGTACTCACTCGAGTCGGTCAACAGGGCGTTCTCCATGATCTTTCCCTTTTTCTTGCCTGCTGGAAGAAATCGACGGTTCAAGGAAGCCACAAAGCACACGGAGACAGAGATCCCCACTGCCCCCCCCACGGCATGACAACGGCACGTGTTCCCACGTTACAGCGGAAGCTACCCCCGCGGTGCGTCAAAACGCGTTGCAGTGCGACTTAGCGAAACGGTACCCATTTTTCACGTAGAAGGGAAACAATAAAATAATAAAAATAAAAAATAATATTTAAGCGACTTAGCGAAACGGTACCCATTTTTCACGTAGAAGGGAAACAATAAAATAATAAAAATAAAAAATAATATTTAAGCGACTTCGCGAAACGGTACCCATTTTTCACGTAGAAGGGAAACAATAAAATAATAAAAATAAAAAATAATATTTAAGCGACTTCGCGAAACGGTACCCATTTTTCACGTAGAAGGGAAACAATAAAATAATAAAAATAAAAAATAATATTTAAGCGACTTCGCGAAACGGTACCCATTTTTCACGTAGAAGGGAAACAATAAAATAATAAAAAAAATATTTTTGTTTCCCTTCTACTTTACCGAAAGAACCAAGAATATGAATACCTGCAGTCACGAAAGCTTTAAATCGAGAGGTACCCATTTTATCCACTTTTCACATTCAGCCTTTTTCTCAAGGACGCAAACCCAAACGCAATGTGACGGTACGACGGGAGGCTGCGCGTGTGAACATCACCTTCTCCGACAGACGAGCTGCTCCCGTTGCTCCTCGTGCTGTTCCTCTGCCTGTCCTTGGCCGAATGCCTGCAAGAGGGGGTTTCGTCGCGGCAAAGAACCCGACGTTGCAATCGAGAACACAGCGAGGGGGGGCCATCGTTCTTTGCCGGCGCGCCGCGCAATTAAACCGTCCCCACCCCCCCACCCCCCGCCGCTCACCGTGAACGTTTGGCTTAAAAATTTGAGCCGCTCGATATGTCCGACGATCGTTCATGGTTTTTGCCCCACGCGTTGTCAGTCAAGACTCCCACGTTTTGCTTCACTTGATCTGTGTCGTTGGCGCGTACGTTTATTTTTTATTGCGCCGGGACATTGTTTTTTTTTTTTTTAAACCCGTAACTTCGCCTGTAACCTTATTTGAAGCGATGTTTGCTGGATGTAACTGGGACCCCCCCCCCCCCTCCTGCAAGTGATGCATGCATGTATGTAGAACTTATTTCGCACCGTATGTAGCCAACCACGCTATTCGGAGGTGCGAGGGAAGGAGAACAAACTAAACACGACTGTGATAAACTCAACTGCACTGGGATTACACACGCAGCGCTCATTACTGCCCCGTACTGGAGGACTTAAGCCCATTAGCCGGCTGGTGGCTGCATTGACGCTGTGCTGCGTGGGGAGAGCTGCCACCTTCCTCCAAGCTAGACCACACTGTGGCAATCATCGCCCCTTCGTGGACAGCTGCCGCTGGGGGCGCCCATAGGCCAGGCCGCACAGCGGCAGTCACCGCCTCCTACTGGCAGGTGCGTCTTGTGCCGCGCAGGGACAGCTGCCGCTGGGGGTGCCCTTGGAATGCTAGAGAGGAGGTGGGGTTGTACGGCAGGTGCCTTGAGGTGGGGTGGGGGGGGGGGGTGGTGGTCACCTGGTGGGGACGTCACGAGCCTTGGGCTGCACGGCGCACAGCGGCTCCGTGATGCTCTTGGCGGAGAGGGAGAAGCGCTCAAACTCCGAAGGGGAGATCAGATAGAAGCCTGGGGCACGTCCAGACACGCGCACACAAGCACACACTCCTTTATCTCCCTCCTGGGGTGGAAGCAGAGGGAGAGTTGGTGGCGTGGAGGAGGGGTGGGGGGAGGGACGGGCGGGCGGGCGGGCGGGCGTCCGCGGTAGCCCCGAGTCCTCACCCTGTCCCGACTTGGTGAAGACGCAGGAGGCGATGCCGCCCACGTCCTCCCGGCGCATGCAGCTGTGGCGCGCCTGCAGGCGCAGTGCGGGCACGCTGTAGGCGTGCACCTCGCCCAGGTTGGTGAGGCACACGAGGCAGCTCTCGCTGTAGTCCTCCCCCGCCGGCGCCGCGCTGGCGAACGTGGCCAGCGCCACCTTGCGCACGCGCGACCCCTCCGTCGCCGTCAGCTTGAACTTGTTCTTGGCGCCGACGCGTGGCAGTGCAAACACCTGGCGGGCACGGGCGCGGTGAGACGTCAGCCGAACGAACGTGGCCCCCGTTATTTTTAGTTTACCAGGCAAGGCCCACTGAGCTACCTAGCAGTTTTTTTCTCGGAATCGGCGTAGCCACAAATGGATAGCTCGATGAGGTGTCTCATCACGTGGAAATGTATAGCAGCCAAATACTCGCACAGGAGCAGCCTTTGAGAGCATTCATCGTGAACGTTTCACTCGATCCACGTCCACACGAAGAAGAAGCAGCGGCAGAAGAAGCAGAACAATCCTCTGGCGAACAGCGACCCCATCCCCCCTCTACCGTGCCACACAGTAAGAGGCCTTCGTGCAGGCAACATGCACACCTTGTCTGTCTGTTAAGTTGAACGTCTTTCGGACCGTATGTAGCCAACACCGCTAATCGGAGGAAGAACAAGCAACTAAAAACAAAAATCAGTCCTACAAAAATGTAGTTTTCAATCTCGATTATTTAAAAGTGCACAGCTCCAGTGGGCTAACTAATATCGCAAGAGCGTTTCCGATAACTGCAGAAGTGCATCTGACAGCGCCGTGCGATGCGGTGACCACCGTCTTTGTTAGATGGCTGAGCCGAAAGCCGCGCCGCTGCTGCTGCGAGGATGACCGTTTGAGTTGGAGTAAGATCTCTAGCGAGGTCTTACCGGAGTCTCAAGACTCTTTCCTCAGCAGGGCCCTGCTACATTTGGGTTGTTTGGCCAATGCCAATAATGGAGAGTTTGGCTTCTTGCTGGACAAAACCGGAGAACCCTGAGCAAACCCATCACACACACACATGCGGAGTGGCGGGGGCGCGACACGCAAAAGCCTCCGCACAGATAGATTCAAGAATTCATGGCTGCGCTTCCTCCTGGCCACCTTGCAGCCGGCCAGGCCCCTAACCCTGCAGCAGCTGGCACCACTCCCGTCGTCTCTGTTCGAACCTTGAACTGCTCCTCGGAGACGATCAGCAGCGAGTGGCTTGAGCCCATCTCGGGCGTCTTGGCCAGGTCGTGCAGCACCTCCAGCGGCTCGGGCAGGGGGCTGCCCTTCCCGTCCAGCACGGTGAGGCCCACCACGGGGGCACGGTGCATCAGCTGGATCTCCTTGGCTGCGCGCGGGGTCCACGTGGGCCCGCGAAAGACAAAGACACCCAACCCCCGCGTAAAACTTAGAGCAGACTGTCGGGACAAGTGTCGTTTGGCGACTAGCACCAACGAAGGCCGGCACGGCGCACGAGGGGGGTGGGTGGGTGGGCGGCCAGCACCACGAACGGCCACACTCGTCTCCCTAGAAGAAATGTTTACACACTCGAAGCTGAGTTGACCTGGGGGTGGCCCAGGATCGATTGAGATTTTCAGCACTGTTGGCCAAGAGCGCAGTCCACTAGCACAAAGATCCCCCCCCGTAGAGCCTCAACATACGGTTTTTAGGGGAAGTGCTGTTAAAGAGCAACTATAAAGGCCGGCATGGTACAGGAGGGGGTGAGTGGTTAGCAGTCACCCCCCGGCCAGCTTGGTCTCCCTCGCAGCTATGATTAACATATCGCACCAGGTACTCACGGAGGGCTGAGTTGACCTAGGGGAGGGCACGCCTTGGCAGGCAAGGCCGGGAAACCAAGGTGGTTCAGTTTAGCGGTGTTAAGTTTTGAGGAGCTCTTACATCAATGCGGCCGTTTTTCGCTTGGTTAACTTCCTCAACAGCAACACAACTTGACTGGATCATCTGTACGGATGTTACCCACGCTACCCGCCCCCCCCCCCCCCCCCCCCATTATGAATGGACAAGACAACCGGACGGATGCATAAGTACGTACGGACATACGGACCGCTTATCACCCTTCGTCGGGAAGCGCTTAACGAATATCACCGGCTGGCAATCGGGGCGACCCCCCGGCGGCATGCCTGGCACGCACGCCTGGCACGCACCTAGCCGAGCTTCCACCGGAGTCTCCGACCGGCGCTCGGACGACGGCACGTCGATGGTGTAGGCGAAGATGATGCCAGCGTTGGTGCCGGCCCACAGGCTGGGTCCGTGGTGTGATCCTGGGTCCGTAAAACCAACAAGACACAAACGCTGATTTTCAATAAACACCACTTGGCTGCGTCCGCCAAGCAACAATTATAATTTTTGTTGCATTCGCACGGCGCTCCCCATAACAAAAAAAGGACATATCGAAGTGCAGGGAATTCATTTACATATTTGTTCACACATTTATTTTTTTAGCTTAGGGAAGGAACCCGAGGGAAACCCCCCACACCCACCACCGAATGAGAGGAGTGAGCTGCAGGTCAGGAGAGGTGAGCGAGTGGATGAGCGAGCAGGTGAGCGGGCGAGCGAGTGGTTGAGCGGGCGAGCGAGCGAGCGGGTGTGCGAGTGAGCGGGTGAGCGAGCGGACCGTCGCGCAGGAACGTGTCGGCGAAGTAAATGCACTTGACGACGCCGGAGAGGGAGTCGTCGGCGGAGCGAGCCTCGATGCGGCGCTGCACAGGCGCCAACTCGACCTCGCCCTCTGCCTCCTGCACCTGCACACAAAGACAAAGATCCCCCTCCATGCTGTGTAGCCTTAGCAGCCTGTAAGGGGCAAGTGCCGTTCGCGAGCAGCGCCTACGAAGGCCGGCACACGACACACGAGGGGGCGGGCGGCCAGCACCACGCCCGGTCGCCTTCGTCTCCCCAGTGGCGATGTTTACACACCGGGTACCCATTTTTATGCTGAGTCGACATAGGGGAGGCACAGAACCAGTTTAGATAATCGTCACTGATGTTGGCCGCATTCGAACTTGGGTCGCCGGGTTCGTAGCGCAGCATGCTAACCGCTACATTACACGTGCGCGCGCACAACACACGCACACACCAAACACACACGCATATACGTAGACACACGCACGCTGACACACACGCACGTGCACACTGGCGTACGCCGGGCACCCACAGAAATGAGTGGTCCCCACACTCGCCAGCATGGGCAGGCGGGCGGGCGGGCGTGCACACGCACGCACGGACAAACTTAGAACGAGGGACACCCGACCGTGCACGCAGTTGGACGCGCATGCACATGCCAGGACACGGGATGCACATGCCACAGTGAACGAAACGGGCACGAAGATCCTGCGTGCAGCCTTACTGATTTATCTAGCGCATTATCGCAAGGCCGCTTTACAGCAATGGTAAAATTGCAAGTAAGGTGACAGTGGTTGGGATAAAATATTGGGGGGGTGTTATTAAGAGTGGTGGTGTAGTTACGGTGACAGGATAACAGGCGCGGGTGGTTAAGGAGGGGGTAAGGGTAGACCTCGTCGTATCTGGGGGGGGGGGGGGGGGGGGGGGGTGGGGGGGGGCAGTGCACCCCACGCATCGAGACACCCACAGCAGTGGTAAGGCTACCCCCCGCACTCGTGGGCATGCAGTGACGGCAAATCGTCGTGGACATTCACGGGTGGAAGCTCGTGACACAGGGTTAGTGGGTGCCCATTGGCTCTCGTGAAAGGGGTAAAAACCCGTCACTTACTTTATCCAGGCGGCCCTGAGTACTGAGACACTGACAAAAAAAACGACAATCACAACACGTAGGCAAATTTGCATTTCACCAAGTTACATCCACAAAGACAAAGAACCCCCCCACCGTGGAGCAGCCTCTAACAGACTGTTGGGGCAAGTGCTGTTGGCGAGTAGCGCCTACGAAGGCCGCCACGGCGTACGAAGGGGGTGGGTGCGCCAGCTCCGCCCCCCAGTGCCGACGCATTTGCACGCCGCATCGGGTCCACCTAGGGGAGGCCCAGGTCCCGGTTCAGGAATCACTCGCCGCTAAATTGTAGCGGTGGTCAGGAAGCTAACCCGGGTTGCCGGGTTTGTGGCGCGGCGTGCTAACCGCAGCGCCGCCACCACCACCACCACCACCCACATTTGTTGCATCCATGTTCCAAACACGACACACACACACACGAGTGGGCTCGGGCATCCGACTGTGCTTTGTCTATGCTGCATGTTAACTGCAGAGCATAGCTAAATCACAAAACAAAAACCCCAGGCACGGACCATGCACAGGGGGATTATGGACATAGATTTAAAGATGACAATGAATTATAGTTTGGCTCCAAGTACCACCAGCAACGTGCTCTGTGCCGGGTTTTGATGACCGCACACGAGACAAGGTATGCATCAGGGAATGGATAACGGACGCTCCTGATATCTGCCGTGTATACCGGAGACCACCAGGAAGGGACTTCCGAAGCGACTCTGCGGTATCCGCATTCCGCGTGCAGCCCCCTCGCACGAAGGCGTGCGCCCTTCGTGCGAGGGGGCGGCACTTCATCTCGTGGCCATGCGACGCCGATATTAGAAAATCGGGATCACGGAGAAAAGCGGCAAAGTAAATATCAAGGGCAGGCACTCTCCCTGCCCGCTCTAGCCGTATCGCTGTGACGCGGCTCACGCCGGCCGCACGGGGGCCGCACGCTGGCCGCGTGCCGGTGGCTGCTGCGGGCACCTTGTTGGCGCCGTCCCTGGGCGGCCGCTTGCGCCCCGACGTGCGGCTCTTGCGGATCCTGCGGAACGACTGGCGCAGGGACTTCTTGAGCGACTTGACGCGCGACAGGGGGCCCTCGAGCGCCAGCGCGTCGTTGGGGTGCAGCGTGCACCTAGCACGGGGGGGGGGGGGGGGAGGAGGGACACGGAACGCCATAGAGCGGCGATGCGTAGTACGCGCGTCCCCGGTCCGCTTCCTAACATTGGAAGGAAGAGCGTTCCAGACGGCCGCAGAAGCACACCTGAAAGCGCGCGATGCAAAAAAGCTTTAATCTCAACCCGTTGCAATGCTACACGTGCCACTCTCGCACACATTATCCTCATTACGCTTGCTTACCCAGCAAAGCCTCAGTGCGAGTCCTACGACTCGGCGAGTCTCGTGACTCGGAACAGAGGCCAATCAACGTCTAAAAACGAATAAAAACTCCCGCACGCTCACTTGGACATAACGGCCCGGCGCTGCTGGAGGTCGAACAGCGCCAGCCCGTGGCTGGTGCCGAACGCCACGAGGCGCCACTCGGGGTGCAGCGCCAGCGACGTGACGGACGCCGGGGGCGAGCACTGCACGAGCAGCTGCGGCTGGAAGCCGGCGGGGAAGCGGATGCGGCCGGCGCGCTGCGTCAGCCGCTCGTGTCCCTTCCAGCGGAACGTCTCGTTCTCCTCGAGCAGGTCCACCGTGTAAACGTCCACCTCGTGCTCCACCTCGTCGTCGTTCAGCTCCATCACCAGCACCTGCGGCCGAGGGGGATGAGGAGGATGAGGAGGAGGAGTAGTAGTAGGGGCGTGGACCTTTGGCCTGCGGGTCGGCTAGGTGCGCCTTCGGCCAGCGGGGGGGGGGGGGGGGGGGGGGGGGGGGGGGGGGGGGGAGATATTCATCGCCGCTTTTTGCGCTCAGTTTTTGTTGTCCTTCCCCCGCGCCTGCGGTTAAAACGTCTGGCTACGTTTTCTGTACCCCGTTACTGGAATTCTTCGGCGTGTTGTACCGGGCTCGGGTTTTGTCTTAATAGTAATAATAAAAAAGCGGTTGGCTACGTACGGTGCAAAAGAAGTTCAACATGCATACGTACGGACGCAGCGAGCTGCCATAAATCACCGCGTCGGCTTTTTTTTTTTTTACAGCGGGGCTGGAAAACCTCTTCGAAGATAAAGATGCCCCCCCCCCCGCCTGTACAGCCTGAACAGACGTTTGGGGCAAGTGCCGTGAAGGCCGAGATGCAGACCACGGGTGTGGCGTAATTACCTGTCCAGCCGAGCCAGCCAATGCCATCTGCCCACTGAACTTGCACAGGGAGATCTTCTGAATGCCAAGCCGTGGGTCATCGCTATAGGGGTCGAAGCAGCCCACCTGTTGGTACCAACACACGCAACAAAATACGTGCACACACACACACAAGCGTATTACAATCGTCAGCTGCCTACGGACGGAATCACTGGACCCCTTGGGTCGCCAAGTCGCTCCCCCACTGGTCCGTATTCACGTTATTTGTGTTCAAAACACACACACACACACATCCGGAGCATTGTGAATCGCCTTGATCCTAGTAGAAAAGTGGATCTACGTCGCTCGCACACTCACATTTAAGTAGACGGCATCACTGAGCTGGCTGCCCGTGGGTGAGCTAGGCGTGCCTTCGGCCTGCGGGTCGGCTAGGCGTACCTCCGGGCCCGTGGTGGGTTGGCTCGGCGTACCTTCCGGAAGGGCGGCCACTCCTCGTCCTCGCCCTCCGCGGCGTGGTCGGCCTCGGTGAGGAACACGTTGGCCGTGCCCAGCTTGTAGAGCTGCTTCAGCGCCACCCCCGACGCGTCCCAGAACCGCACCGAGCCGTCCTCGTGTCTGGGCACGGCAACGGGGGGGGCGGGTACAGGGGAGCACGGCTTAGCCGGGCAGAGCACGGCCGGGCAGCACCAGCATCTCCACCCCTCGTTTTCTCCGGTTGTACCCCCCGTAACGTGGCTTGGCACCGCGTCCGAGGTTTTCGGGCCATGCGCTGGGAGCTTGCCGAGCACGTGAAAGCGAAACGTGGGACATCGCGCCAAACAACGCACGCAGCACAACCCAGAGAGAGAGAGAGAGAGCCGTACGGCGCAACTCATTTACGTGGTGACATAGCAGCACTAACGCAGACCAAACACACACACACACACACGACAGCAGCAGCAAGAGCAATGTGGTGCAACGGCAGCGTCAGGTCTGCGGCACCAAGTGTACAACAATAACCAGAGCGGGCGCCACGAACAACAGGACACGATTCAACGCAACGATGCGAGCAGCGGAGGGTAGTGCAGCCCAAAAACCATCGTTGTACTGCAATTCCACGTTCCCACGTCTACACTGGCGGCCGGCGCGTTGGAACGCGGTTAATCGATCCCCCCCCTCTCCCTCCCACCACACCATTCCTCCGCCACAAGCTGTACGGCGTGGGGCGGCAAGACGATCAGGCGCACGTTGCATGCGGCCGCCCACGCCGGCGCCGTACCCAGTGAGCAGCAGGTCTCTCAGCGCGGGCTCCGTGTTCCTGTTGATGCCTCCGTTGACGGGCCACTCCTGCGACGACGACAGGAAGAGGGAAAGGGGGCGCACGTCAAAGCGATTGGAACGAGCGGCACAGTCGGTCGGTGCAGCGCCGCGGATTGATTAAACCGTTCCAGGGCTTCGGCTCAGGCCGTGGACTCGGCATGCCTAGACGGCGCCCTACGCCTTTGCCAGAAATTTAACACCTCAATATATATATGGAGGACCAGCAGAGCTTGGGAAAATGTTTGTGGTGGCGGCTGACCACCTCGTGGTTGCCGCCGCCGCCTTTGCCGCACGTCCGCGGTTCCTCCTCGCGCCTCTGGGTCGTTCCCCCTCTCTCTCTCTCTCTTTCTCTCCCTCAGCGAGGCTGACGACCGGAGCGGCAACCAAAAGAACCGCCCCGTGGAGATGGAGCAATGAAATCGGATCGTGCGCTCGAGAGCCAGAAGCTTCGTTGGATCGCGAGACCGTAAAAGGTCAGAAATCGGAATCTTTTTTTTAGACTGGAGGAGGAATCTTATTAGCTATGACGCTCTTTATCACCCATGTCCACTAAGAGGCACCGGGTCAGAAAGTTTCAGGTGGCTTGCAGAAGGCCTTTTATCCAGCAGCAGATAGATCACATCCGATGATGACGACGATGAATATCTGCTTTCGAAGCGACCCTTGCAGAAGTGCTGGCCAGTTGCCAGCACGGAGATGCTGCCGATAGATAATTGCTGTAGTGCGGAACACATGTTATTCCTGAGTCACGAAAGCTTCAAATCTAGATTCCATGTTATTCTTGTCAGCTCATTCATATTAACGACCATGAAGCTTTGGCAAAGGGCTGTGAATCACTGTTATCATGATTATTAATTTTCATTCAACCGCTCTACAAAAACATTCTCAGTGAGGAGGATATATTTTTTTTCTTTAGAAATGCTTGTTGTTGTTTAGTTTGTTGTCCTTCCCCCACACCTACGATTCGCGCGGATGGCTACGTACGGTATGCAAAAAAAGTTCAACATATATACGTACATGTGTTGTGTGTATTGCAAACAGTAATCTCTGAAAAAGTGCTTTGCTCAGAGTGCTAATATCCCTATGAATTACTCAACGGGGAATGGATATCCATTGTAATGTCTATGCATACATTAACCCCCCCCCGCCCCTCGCACTCGACTGGCTCGCTAGTGATAACATCACATTTATCCTTTCTCTCTTTAAGAACGAAACAGGAGGATTTCCCCACAAATCTGCATGTCCGCCTGATGGTGCTGGTTGTTAATTACTGGCGAAACATCGTACTCGAATAATAAATGTCGTGGGGTTTTGTTTACGTGACAAACCTTACTAATAGACTGCCGGGTGGTGGCGGGTTTAACGACGAAATCCTACTTGGTGTTAAACTACTATCTCAATGATCCGCATTAATTTCCTGGCAATGCAAAAACCTAAGTGGCAGGTTTGGCACCCGATACTGACGCAAGTTCTTTATGTCTCGTGAAGTAGAACTGGTCAGGTGGCTCAGCGGTACGGTGAGCGGCTTGCAATCAGAAGCTTACAGCTCCGTGTGAACCTATGGGTCCTGCGCAGATGCTCATAGACTCCGAGACCGATCCACTCATATAGAAACCCATCCACTCACACACACCTCTAGACTCACAGACTCGCACACACCTACAGACTAACACACAGACGGGGGCTTGAGCTGATATAGAGGGATAGAGATTTGTAGACGAGATGTGAGGAGATTCAGAGCGGGTGGGGGTGGCCACGCAAAAGCCACGTGATTTACGGTAGGCTCGAGCTTGCAAGAGCAGCCGAAGAGATCCCCCGGAGCCTCCCCTCTCGGCGGTGGCGCGGCAAAGCAAAGTGCCAGCGGCGCAAAGGGGCGGAGGTCAAAGCACGGCGAGGGCACGGGCGAGGGCCTGGCGCGTTCGTCGCGCCGGGGGGGCCGGCGGACTCACGGCGTGCGACTTGTTCTTCTCGTCCTCCTGCTTGCGGCCGCAGCGCGCGATGCGCTCCCAGATCTTGAGCGGCACGGCGGAGACGTGGTGCGAGCAGGTGATGGCGGACGAGTGCAGCGACGCCAGGTAGGGTGGCGGCATCGGGGCCCAGGATTCCGAGCGCAGGTCGATGGCCACCAGCTCCTCCTCCACCAGCACGATGAGGGCCTGCGGCGCGTCGTACTCTGCGCGCGCACAGGAGCGCCAGCGCGCCCCATCTTAGTCCGGCGGCTTTTGTTCGTTTTCGTTTGGCGGATTGGTGGTAACAAAAAAAAAAAAAAGACTCGCGCCTCACCGGTTCGTGACCTCGGGTGCCCTTCCCGCGTGGAGTTTCTAAGTTCGCCCCCTGTTCTGCAGAGTATGAGCGTGTGTGCGAGTTTGTGTGAGAGTGTGTGTGAACATATGTACGTGTACGGGTGCGGTAGTACAGCGGTAGGCGGCAGTGTATCGGTAGGCGGCAGCGGAGCGGTAGGCGGCAGGGTAGCGGTAGGCGGCAGTGTATCGGTAGGCGGCAGCGGAGCGGTAGGCTGAAGTGTAGCGGTAGGCTGAAGTGTAGCGGTAGGCTGAAGTGTATCGGTAGGCGGCAGGGTAGCGGTAGGCTGAAGTGTAGCGGTAGGCTGAAGTGTATCGGTAGGCGGCAGGGTAGCGGTAGGCTGAAGTGTAGCGGTAGGCTGAAGTGTATCGGTAGGTGGCAGGGTATCGGTAGGCGGCAGCGGAGCGGTAGGCGGCAATATAGTGGTTGAAGCACCGGACTACGAACTCGGCGACCCATGGAGTTCGATTCCTGCTCACGGCCACCACCAACACCAGTGACAATTATCTGAACCGGCCCTGGGCCTACCCTAGATCGGCTCAGCCTGGCAACCCCACCGCCTCGTGTCCCGTGCCGGCTTTGATAGGTGCTCGCGAACAGCACTTGCCCCTACTGTCTGTCAAGGCTATACGGGGATCTTTGTTTGTTTGCTGTGTATCAGCGCGACTGTATGAGTGTGTGAACTTTGTACATGCCCCCCCCCCCCCCCCCCCCATAACCCGTAACCAGTTTCTCTCCTGGTTTTTTTTTTTCAATGCCGTTGATAAACCGGTTATGATTAGCCACCTCCCTCACCCCACCCCCCACAGCCCCCCACCCGCCACCCACCCAACTCACCGCTGTCGGGAGCCTCGTTACAGACGGTGAAGAAGTCGATGACGCGGGACGTGAAGTCGAAGGCGACGTGCCTGGTGCCGTGGATCACGGTGACGCTGTGGCGGTCGCCGTAGCTGGCGCGTGGCATTCCGCCGCTCAGCACGATGTACGGATCCCTGCCGAGAGAGAGAGAGACAGAGAGACAGAGAGTCGAGCTGCAAGGGGGGACACCGCTCCCCCCACCCCTCGGGGGTTGCCGAGGTCGCCCGCCGCGACACGGCGAGCGGTGGCGCCGTGTGATCTGCGATCATCACGTCGCTCGTTTTTTTTGGGTTTTTCTTTCGCAAACTAACATTAGCCTCCTTGCAAAACGAGCGAACGCCGTCGCTCGTTTTGCAAGGAGGCTAATGCTATCAAGTGCTGCGGATTTCCACTTTAAATGTGTTCACTGTAGGCAAACACACATTTCTTTCTCTTTTAGGGATACTGACACTATTTGGACACACACATGTAGGACGGACGACAAGAGGAAAATTCCAAGTGTGTTGTTTGGAAAAAACGGAAGAAACTGAAAAGAGAGGAAGCCCTAACAGAGAGTGGCTTGATGACAACATCACAAGAGGTCGGTGCCAGAAAGATGTGACACTACTTGAGCATTTTGGCACAGGACAGAGGAAAGTGGAAACAAATGACGAAATATGTAGAGGACACCTTCGGGCTATCTGCCCATTGATCGTAGTGATAATGATGATGAAAGCACACATACATGATACATGTTCGCGAGCAGGATATTATTCCAGCAGGGATGTATATGCAGTTTCTCGCCTACCCCTCTTGGTTTTCCAAGGAACTTTTATTCGAAATGAATGGAACTACGGCTGGGATTATTAGTCGACGATTGACTACATTTGTTGCGGTCGATTCCTCGGGGCCCTTTTAAACACGGCGACCGCCCCAACATGAAGGCAGGAAATCCCCTATGAGCCACGCGGAAGCATCGCGTGGCCGATGACATCGTCAAAGCCCCGTGAGACACCACACCTCCCCCGCGTCCAACCAGCAACTATTTGCGTGCAATCCGGTCGGCCGAGCATCCTGAACCTATAATCCGCGGGGCAATCGGTCACTCAAACAGGCAGATTCACAATCCGTGCGCTCTACACGGTTGGGATAAGATAAAAAACAAAACAGAACTTTCATCCCAATAGCATTGTGCTACCGTCTTTGTATGTTACTTTGACGCTCGAGCACGCTGCTGTTACAACACGACCTGTGCGTCTGTTTTCTGTTCAAGAGTGATAGCAGTGGGGGTGGTGGTGAGGGGGGGGGGGTCACTCACCCTCTCGTTAGCAGCCACTGGATCTTGTTGATGGCTTTGCAGGGGTAGGGTCCTGACGGTGGGAACAGCAACAGGGGGCAGCATGGAAATCACGAGGGAGAGGGAAAACAAACGGCCACGTGTTTCACTTGTACCCCGACGCGTAAAACACACAAGCACGCACGGCAACATTAATTACACGATCAAGTGCTACGCCTGTGTTGTGCTATGTCTGCATGCTAGTGCACGTAGCATGCTATGCTTGTGTGTGTACTGTGCTATGCCTGTGTGTATTTACATGTTTAGTGGTTAGCGCACTGCGCGTCACGAACCCGGAGACCCGAATTCGATTCCCGTTCACGGCCAACATCAGTGGCAAATGTCTGAACCAGTCCGGGGCCTCCCCTAGGTCGACTAAGCCTAAAATGAGTACCTAGTGCGGTGCAAACATCGCCACAGGGAAGACAAAGACGGACAGGCGTGGTGCCGGCCACCCACTCCCTCGTGTGCTGTGCCAGCCTTCATAGGTGCTCGCTAACAGCACTTGTCCTTACAGTCTGTTAAGGCTCCATGGGGGATCCTTGTTTAGTTTTTTAATGTACTATGCCTGCATGCTAGTGCACATAGCATGCTATGCCTGTGTGTATATGTATCGTGCTATGCCTGGGTGTGTATGTAGCGTACTATGCCTGCGTGTGTATGTAGCGTGCTATGCCTGGGTGTGTATGTAGCGTACTACGCCTGCATGCTAGTGTATGCAGTGTGTTACGCCCATGTGTGTGTGTGCAGTGTGCTACGCCCATGTGTGTGTGTGTGCAGTGTGCTACGCCCATGTGTGTGTGTGTGCAGTGTGCTACGCCCATGTGTGTGTGTGTGTGCAGTGTGCTACGCCTCCGCGGCAGCGCGTGCGTGTGCCCTACCGTAGGGGATCTTGTGCCCCCCCTCGCCGTCCTCCTCCTCCGCGCTGCTGCTGCCTGTGTGCCAGACGCGGTAGCTGCCGTCGTTGTGCGAGCTCACGAACTGCGTTCCGTTCCTCTGCCAGGTCACGCTCTCCAGCTGCTGCTCGCCGCCCGGCGCGCACGCACACACACGAAGACAAAGATCCCCCGTGTAGCCTTAACAGACTTTTGTATACAAGTGCTGTTAGTGAGCAGCAACTCTTGAAGGCCGGCAAGGCACACGATGGCGGTGGGTGACCAGCACCACGCCCGGCCACTTTTGTCTCCCCCAGTGGCGATGTTTACACACCGCACCAGGTACTCATTTGAGCCCGAGTCGACCTCGGGGAGGCCCAGGACCAGTTCCGATAATCGTCACTGGTGGTGGCCGTGAGCGGGAATCGAACTGGGGTCAACACATGTGTGTCCTCTCACCAGTTGGTGGTTAAACCACTTGGGATTGTTTTCCAGTGAAGCCCTTCAGTAGATTGACCATGGCTGATTACAACAATGATGATGTTTTTGAGTTGTACGCCTTTTGGCGTCATCTGGTCCAACACCAGTGGAGACTAGGCTCTAAGAAAAGCCGTCTCGGGTGTGGACCAATCAATTTCAAGGACAGTGCATATCATTATCAGAGTTGTCTCTTTTTGTTTGCATTTTGACTGCTTGTGTTGTGGTTATTGCAAACATGATCCCTTGTATAAAGGTGGCAGTTTTGGTGCCAGATAAAAGGGTAAAAACCTATTAATAGATGATGATGATGTCGATGTTTCCGAGTCAAGGGCCAGCTGGGAGGGCAGCGCGTAGCCCATACCGAATGCTGTCCTGGGCCCCAGCGAAAGATCTACGGCCTCTCTCCCCCCCTCACCTCTCTCCTCACCTCTGGAGCTTTCGAAAACAACGTCAGATTCCAGCGCCAATTAGGGACGCTCGCATTCCTCGCGCGGAAAGCGCATTCCACTCACACCGCAAGCCTAAAAACAAAGCCCTCACTAACGAGCGTTAATTAGGGAACGGTGTGCCTTTCGCAGGACGGGCTTGGCGCGGGTGCGTCTCAACCCCCACCCCCCCCCCAACGTCATCCGTGTGCCTGCAACAAATGTTTTTGTTTTTACTGCAAAGCGGCCCACAGATACACAAGTCTTAGCTCAGCGGGCCCTACTGCGGGGTGCTTGAATTACAGTCCCCCCACACCTCCCCCCCCGTCTCCACCACCCCCCCCCCCCGACACGACTCGTTCACTGCTCAAGTTCATCTGCCCACGGTCAATCTACTGCTGGATGAAGGCCTCTGCAAGTATTGGTGGATCCGAGAGGGAGGGGGGCGGGTGTGATGGGGGCGATCAGAATTTTACAGCCTAAATAAAGATTATTTTATTTAGGCTGCCAATCACCCCCTCAGACCCAATAATTAGTATTTTATTGATATTAACTCTTAAAACTAAACTATTTTTTTATTTCACCAGGTAAGGCCCAGCGAGCTACATAGCCCTCATTCAAAAGTGAGACCTGGCAACAAATGACCGAGTGGCTTATCACGTGCACATTTATAGCAGCCAAATAACTCTACGGACGCACGATGTTGATTCCAGATGCAGAGAGGGAAAAACCGGAGCACCCGGAGAAAAAATCCACATGACCACGGGGAGAGAGGGAGAGAGACCGCAGACTCGAGATCGAACCCACGACCGTCCCGCAGACTTGAACGCCTCGCCACCCTCCCCCGCCCCAAGATGTGACAGCGGGCGTCCCTCCTTGCCTGCGCCGTGGGGAAGCAGCGGAGCATGCGGCGCGTCGCCTGGTCCCACAGCAGCATGAGGCCGCGGCTGAAGCCCACGAGGAGGCGGTTGGGGTCCCGCGGGTGCTCCTGCACCGCCTCGATGGGGCCCAGCGCCTTGCCGCCGCGGTACTCGTCCGGTACTCTGCGGCACAGGCGCGGTCACCAATGTTACCTGCGCTCTGCTGCTGCTGGCGCTTCTGCAGCTGGTGCTGCTGCAGCTGGTGCTACTGGCGCTGCTGCTAGTGCTGATGCAGCTGGTGCAACTGGCGCTGCTGCCAGTGCTGATGCAGCTGGTGCAACTGGCGCTGTTGCTAGTGTTTCTGCAGCTGGTGCTACTGGCGCTGCTGCCAGTGCTGATGCAGCTGGTGCTACTGGCGCTGCTGCTAGTGCTGATGCAGCTGGTGCAACTGGCGCTGTTGCTAGTACTTCTGCAGCTGGTGCTACTGGCGCTGCTGCCAGTGCTGATGCAGCTGGTGCTGCTGCAGCTGGTGCTACTGGCGCTGCTGCTAGTGCTGATGCAGCTGGTGCAACTGGCGCTGCTGCTAGTGCTGATGCAGCTGGTGCAAATGGCGCTGTTGCTAGTGCTACTGCAGCTGGTGCTGCTTCAGCAGGTGCTACTGGCACTGCTGCTAGTGCAGCTCGTGCTACTGGCGCTGTTGCTAGTGCTTCTGCAGCTGGTGCTGCTGCAGCTGGTGCTACTAGCGCTGCTGCTACTGCTGATGCAGCTGGTGCTACTGGCGCTGCTGCTAGTGCTGATGCAGCTGGTGCTACTGTAGCTGGCACTGCTGCTGCTGCTGGTGCTACTCCTGCTGCTGGTGTTGATCGTGCTACTGATGCTCTCAGTGCTGCTGCTGGTGTAGCAGGTGCTACCAGTGCTGGTGCTGCTGGTGCTACTGCTGCTGCTGGTACTCCCACTGCTGCTGCTGGTGTAGCTGGTGCTACCAAAGCTGGTGCTGCTGGTACTCCCAGTGCTGCTGCTGGTGTAGCTGGTGCCACCAGTGCGAGCGCTATTGGTGCTATTGGTACTGCCGGTGCTACCGCTGCTGCCGCTACATGACACCGGGAGACGCCGACGACGATTTCCCGATAACGCGAGCGCGACGCTGACCCGTGCAGCAGGTCCTCCTGCGTGAGCGTCAGGTCGTCGAGCAGGCGCATGGCGGGCAGCTCGAGCTGGCTCACGACGCCGCCCTCGGTGCCCACGTAGAGGCGGTCGCCGGCCACGCTCGCCGACAGCACCGTGACGCGCGCCAGGCTGGGCGGAGCGCTAGAAAAACAACGCGCGGACGCGCACGCAGACACAACGACACGCACGTCAACGCACGACACGCACGTCAACACGCATACAATACGCACGCATGCGAACACACAGACGATGCCAACACACACACACGATACACACGCACGCGAAACGCACGCACGACATCCACGTACAAACAAAAAAGACAAAGAACCCGCCGGATAGCCTGTTGGGGGCAAGTGCTGTTAGTGAGTAGCGCATATGAAGGCCGGCACGGCACACGAGGGGGTGGGTGGGTGGCCACCACCATGCCCCGGCCGCCTTCGTCTCCCCAGCAGTGATGTTTACACACCACACTAGGTACTCATTTAAGCCCGAGTCAACCTAGGGGAGAACCAAAACCAGTTCAGGTAATTATAATCGTTACCAGTCAGGGCCGTGAGTGGGAATCAATCTCCTTGGGTCCCCGGGTTCGGAACAAAATGCGCGCTAACCACTACACTACTGCCACACACACACACACACGTAGGCGCGCATGCCACACACAGCTACAGTTGAGACAACATAAACCTGCTGTAAAACAATGCCCCAACTCCCAACTGACAGCATTTAGAATGAGTGATTGCCAATCGCACGAGGATCAAAGTCTCTCCTTCAACTACCAAGACTAGGACTGATGTACAGTCGCACGAGCGTAAAGACACACACATATATAGACACCAACCCCCCCTCCCAGCCCATATAGCTGACACAGGCTGTTGGGGAAAGTGCTGTTAGCGAGCACCTTCTAAGACCCGGCAAGGGCACACGTGGGGGGGGGGGGGGGGGCCAGGGGGCAACTGAGTGTGGGGGCCAGCACCACGCCCGGCCGCAATTTTTGCCTCGCTCTGGACGCTGGAGTCAACCAAAGGCTGACGCCGCTCGTGGCGGTGACGTTGCCGCAGAGCTCCGAGGCCGCGCGCCCACCGCGCCAATAGCCGGCAGCCAGGGGGTTTCACTTCTCGTCGAAATTGTTTTTCTGGCCTGCTGGTCAACTGGAGCAGTGGACGGGTGGCACACGACAAGTAGCCCAAACGAGATGTATATCCGATGCGGTGTGCCGGGCGTCACCCAACTGGATAGAGCACATTAAGCGCCTGTCGCGAACCCCAAAAAACACCCGGAAATGTGCCGCTAGCGAGCGACATTATCACGGGCGCCCCCTTTGCGGGGTTGCGTGGGCAAAATACTGCACTGTACTTCTATACTCCCACCTGTATAACGCACTGTGTTCACCAACCCGCAATGACCAGTGAGGCAAAAATGTGGTCCGATAATCTCCACAAATCATAGAACGGGAGGAGGCCCTCATCCAGCAATGAAATGACAAATCGGCTTTATGGGGGGGAGGGGGGGGGGGTGAGGAGGTGGGGTGGTGGCTTCTAGCAGCAGTGGCGTGAGCAAGCAATTGTAGGGCTGCACCTTTGGCCGTTTCTACTGAGCCCAGCACACCAGATGGTGCTACAGCAGAGCGCAACACTCAACATCAAACGGTGACGAGTTTAAATCCTGATTGGAGAAGGGGGTGGTCAATTCTGATCCATCATCATCATCCCTTTGAGATCCAAAAAATAAGTACCACTTTGCGGGAAGCCAAACAGTGACCGTCTCTGAGAGACCGGCGCCCGTTACGGGAATGTGGAATTTCCACCGCTGGTGATGACCATGGAAGGAGAATGAGCATCAGTTACTTCAGGATTTCCTTTGAGCTCGGGGGGGGGGAGGAAAAAAAACTGGATCGGCGTCGTTTTATTTTTCTTCCCTTTTGCTCTTAAAATTTGACGTCTGGCCGAACAGAGAGAGCTCATCCACCGCAGAATGCGTTTGCTCGACAGCGAAGGGTCGCGTGAAGGTAACACCCCCGTGATTTTTTTTCCACGCGTGCGTGACCCCAACCCTTGCATCGCGCGTGCGCGACCCCACCGCGGGGAGCAGCGCGACCCTGATTTAGAGTTAAGAGGACGGCCCACGGAAGCGGATGTCGGAGAGCTAGCTCGGAGATCCCTTCTTCAATCGATTTGCGGTCCCACATGCAGTCGAGGGAAGCACCGTTTCCGCCCTCTCTGCACACGCGAGTAATGTTCATCACGCGACAGTAGAACTCACGTTTTAACGGCTGCAAATTTAGCCACGTCAAGCGAGGAACCACATTTTTAGAAAAGTGCTTTTTTTGTACGTGCTGAGACCATCAACTCAATACACTTCAACTCGCTAGGCTTGAGAACCCGGTTTAAATCACAGGCAGTGGCCGAAACCTGGATTCGAACCCAGGAGTTCAGCGTTGCCGGCTCAGCGTCTCAGACCTCTGGGCTACCTCCACAGAGAACATCGCTGCACAAAACGATCGCAGTCGGCAAATTCGCATTAAAATAAAAGCACGGGAATGTGAAATTGTAGTTGTCACTCTGCATCTACATCAGCCATACAAAAGAAGAAGAGCATTCAAGTAAAAAAAATTCTACAAACAGCAATCGCGTCAGCCATTAGAACCGTCACCCATAGACACCTGAAGCTTTCGCTGTGAGACGAAGCACACCGTCGTTATCATCGTGGCCATCACCATCATAACAACGACGAGAAAGCATGCAGAAACACCATTGCGCGACCCAGCTCCCAGCATTGAGGCAAGGTGGCAGGCAGGGACAGCTGAGGAGAGCTCCTCGGCGCTAAACAAAGCAAGCGGCACCACCACCACCACCACCACGAGAGCAGCGATGACGACCCACGAACCCACGAGCCGCGACTCGATGACCCAGGACTCACGAGCTACGACCCAATGAGCCACGAGCTGTGTGTGAGAACAGAGAACAGCATGCACGACTCGTAGCCCCCCCGGAGCAGCCAGGATGGGGGGGGGGGAGGAAACATTCCATTTGGCGGAAACGGCGATCGATTCAACGCGCCGCAAGCCAGCGCTGCGGATGTAACAGACCAAATTTGTCGCTCCCTGATACGAAGGCGGAGGCCCCGGTCCCCAAAACGTCGTCGCCTGCTTGCATCGGGAGCGACGCTATCGTTGGATGCGTTGATATTATTGTTACGTCCGAGTTTGCTCGCGCTTGTTCGTTAGTTTACAGAGTCGCTCAAATTTAGCTGTTGTTTTTTTTCACTCCCCCCAAGATGCAACTTCGTGGCTCGGCGGGGGGGGGGGGGGAGCTAGTGAATAAATTGCGGTTTGATTACGTAAAAAATTGATCGAATGAGAAAGCGTCTTTACCGAATAAAAAAACTAAAACAATTGGCAGTTTTTATTTATAGTTTTAGAGAAGCCTTGTGAGTAATTATATATATTTTTCATCTTGGCCCAATCAATCATTGCACATTGGCGGTTTAAGTAATTAATTCCGCCGATCAATAATGAATGAGGAGACGGAGTGTGGCGGTGTGTAGCTGTGGCGGCCGCTAGGCCCGATGATGATGACGACGATGACCTTTGACCCTTCCGTGTGACGATGACGTCAGTGGCGGCAGTGCCGCCGCCGCCGCCTCCCAGCCGTGCCCTGCCAGCGGTTGCCTCAAGGCGGAGGGGGCAGATGGCGCTCGAGAGCACAACCCGGTGGAGCAGGCACGGGGGGCACGCCGTGGGACAAGGTACGGGGTTTTGTACTTTGGATGTTGTTCAGACCCTGGCCGGCTCGGGATGGTGAAAGCCTGGACTTCGGTGAGCGTCGAGTATCCGTCCTTCTCCACGATCTCCCAGAGGTGCAACGAGCCGTCGTCCAGCAGCGAGACCACGCGCGCCTGAGACCCAAGACAAAGATCCCCCGTAAAGCCTCTGAACAGACCATTGGGGCAAGTGCTGTTGGCGAGCACCGATGAAGGCCACATGAGGTGGGCGGTGTGGACAACACCACCTCCCGGCCGCCTTTGTCTTCCCGATGTTTACACACTTGCACAAGATACCCCATTTATGGCTGAGTCGACCTATGAGAGGCCCAGGACCGGCCGCTGTTATTGGTCGTGAACAGTAAGTCGAACTCTGGTCACTACCGCTCCCCTGAAACAAAGACACACACACATAGACATGTGCCACATGCATTAGAGAGATGAGCAAAAGATATACATTGAGAGGCGGTCCGATTCCAAGGGTATATATAGATATTTTATTGCTATAGAAATCTGCATGCACTTCCCCCAGTAATCTCAATCATGAGTGATGGGTCTCTTTTTCAATGTTTCTCCCACGCCTACAACAGCCCAGAACAGATGTTGTAGGATGGAAGGGGAGGGAGGGAAGGGAGGGGGAGGGAAGTAGGGGAGGAGAGGGGATAAGGAAGGAGGGGGGAGGAGAGAAGATGGGAGAGGAAGGGAGGAGAATGGATGGGAGGGGAGGAGATGGGAGGGGAAGGGAGGAGAATGGATGGGAAGGGAGGAGAATGGATGGGAGGGGAGGAGATGGGAGGGGATGGATGAGAAGGGATAGGATGAGATGGGGAGGGAGGAGATGGGAAGCGAGGGGAGGGGAGGTGAAAGGAGCAGAGGGAGCGGAGGTGGAGAGAGGGAGTGGGGGGGAGGTAATTGGAGGGAGGGGAGGAGAGGCACCTGTCCTGGCAGGAAGTGGAGCTGCGTGACGATGGCGATGTCGCGGTGCAGTCCGGTGAACTCCACTCCCGGAGCACCGTAGCTGCGGCGGGGGGACCATCAAGGAATAATGCCAACAACGATAACAACAACAACCATCTCTGCACGTGTATGGTGCCCGCTTCAATGCCTCAGCAACTCGGTGCACCTTCAAAATCGTCTCAGACATTTCAATTTCTCAACTTTGGATTTACACATGACAGTAAAATTTGCGGGTAATTTTTCAGCCGCCCGATTGTAAAAGTTCGGCATGACCCTTCCTTGACAGAGTCTCGAGACTCGGTGAGGCTTTCCCGGGTAAAACAAATTGGAGTCGTCTTTGGTTAGGCGCTTCTGAAAAATAATGAATAGCTCAGTGGGCTTTACCTGGCAAGATAAAAAATGGTTTTGTTTAAGTTTATTTATAGCGATTTCCTTACCTTTCCTATACTTTGAAAAAAGAGATTTATCTGGGATAAATAAAGATTCCAATATGTTGAGCCGGTTCACTCGAAGACCTCGTCCGATCGGCTTCTGACCACAAAGGGGGCCTTTTGTCGGCATTTGGCTCTGCCGATTGCACCTGAAAACGAATTAACGACGTCCATTTCGCCCTTGACGACGGACACAACGTGACAGCAGGTAGCGCCACTGCGAGGAGTGGGTGAGCGCCAGCCACCCACCTGCGGCCACGAGAGACGCTGCATTCACCATGGCGATTAAAACACCCCGCAATGGACGGAGGACAGTGCTGCATCATTACTCAACTAACTAAAACCATCAACTATTTTTAATTGACCAGGTAAGGCCCACTGAGCTATATAGCTATTTTTCAGGAAGAGACTTGGACACAAATGCTCAACGAAGTGGCTTACCACGTGGAAATTTATAGCAGCCAAATGTGGTGGGAAAAAACCGGAGGACCTGGATAAAAACCCATGTGACCACGGGGGAGAGAGAACAGGAAAACTCCAAACATTCAGGCGTCAGGGTTGGATTTCAAACCCACGAACCTCCTGTAAACCAGACGAGGTAGTTAACATCTCGCCACCTCTAGCTAATTACCGTGACATTAACAACATCCGTTACGGTATTCAGATAATAACAATAATAATGAGACTGCTTATTCTCATAAAGTAGTTGCGCTCGTGCTAAACAATACAAGGACGCATCAGCCCAAACGTTCAAACACACAGCTTTCCCCCGGCTTGCCAGCCTAAAATGACATCTTTGTAACGTCATCGGACAGCTTCACTGCCGCCACCCCACTCACCGAAGCCCCTTTTGTGGACCCTAAGAGCCAGCTGCATGGATGAAACAAACAAACTCCCCTTCCTAACGCGTCGCATGGCAACGACTCCGCGACACTCGGGCAACTCGGCAAGAAGGGCGACACTCGGATGCGGTGGGGGGCGACGGGGTTTAGAGTTCGCCGCGTTTTGCCCCATGTCCGTCCTCTGCGAGCAACTGCGGCGAGGCCGTTGACACCGCCGTGGCGTCGTGGGTTCATATCGCGGCCTCTCTCGCTTCTGTGGGCCACTTCTCTAGCAGGGGGGGGGGGGGGGGGCGATGCCCGGCTGGCCCTGTCGCCCTGCGAGAGATCCGGAATGAACGGATCCCTCTCACGACGTGATGTGGATACGGGACTAATTTTAAACTTATGAAAGGGTCGCGCACTTCGTCTGGCGGTCTACGTAGATTTGTCCCAGCCCTGTCATGTCACACCGTGACCATTTCTGTCACCTCGCCTACAATCGCGCTCTAACAAGGGTAAGCGCTTATTTTTATACACAGGAGGCACTCACTGCACTTCATGGCGAGCGGGCGGGAGGGACACCGGGCGAGTGGGCGGGACACCGGGCGAGTGGGCGGGCCCCTGCCCGTCAGCCCCACCCAGACAGTGAGTGGCCCTATGTGCTGCAACATTGGCCCCACCCACTGCCCAGGAAGCCCCACCCACTGCCCAGGAAGCCCCACCCACTGCCCAGGAAGCCCCACCCACTGCCCAGGTACTGCTCAGGTAGCTCCGCCCAATGCTCTGGCAGGTCTGCCCTTTCAGCCCCACCCCCCCGGGGAGTAAGATTTGAAACCGGGGACAAAATCCCGATTCTTTGCGAATGCTTCGGGACACCGGGACAGACGTCATAAAACCACCCGGGGACTGTCCAAGACAAGCTGGGGGGGGGCGGGTGTGTAGTGTCACCGTTGGGCCCCCATCAGCCACGTTCACACCGCAGCAGACGCTGCTACTCGCCACTCACCTGACCCACTCGCCCAACCAACCCTTGCAGTCACAATTAGAGCAACCGAGACACGTGTGGGCAAGCTCTTTAGCCCCCGCGGGATTAACAAGAGGGCTCACATTACCCAGACAAAACCCACCGGGAACGCTAAAAATAAGCATCCTTTACATGGTGGTGGTGGAGGATAGGGGGGGGGAGGAGTCACAGGCCACGCGGAATCCTGTTGGCATAGCACACCACGTGGGTAGCTCTGCCCGAGAGGGGTAGGTGGTGGTGTGGGCGTTGCACGGCTGCGAGCAAAGGCGGCAACGATTTACGCAGACCTACCGTGTCTCGGAGGGAGCCGCCGCAATCGCGTAATGGTAAGCGCGAATGGATTTGCAATCCAGAAATGGCCCATTTCGAACGCCGCGTTACACGACTCGTGGCAGGTGAAACAATGCAAGCAGCAGTCTTTCTTAAGTCTCACCCAGACCCCCCCCCCCCCATCAACAAAGCTCTCTCTCTCTCTCTGTGCACTCAGCAGTACAAATCAAAATGGATTTCGTCACGTGATCAAGATGTCGTGTGCACTGGGGGGTAAATTGTGGCCAGCGTGGAAAAGCAGATCAAATATCCCCCTGGAGTTTGCTGCAGTTCAAATAATATCCTCCAGTTCACCCTTCTGCCAGCAGTGGTGCGAGTAGGCAATTGCAGGGCCGCGCCTTTCTATTTTTAATTTCCCGAGCACAAACACTTGCAGGGAGGAACAAAGGCCGGGAACGATCTGCATCTCAATTGCAGGAGATGATAATAATTATAACGATGAACAATACTTTTCGATTTAAAGCTTTCGTGACTGCAGGGATTCACAATAAAATAAAACATTTTATTGTTTTATTTGTATTATTTCCCTTCTACGTGACTTTACCGAAAGAACCAAGAAGATGAACAATACGTTACAGTGAATTGAATGGGATCATTTTATCGACCACGGCAGGATGATTGGCCCAGTCAACCCCCAACCGGAATTTGACCATGTGACCTTTAAATTGCGAGACTCTGGCTCAACCGCTGAACCACGTGGCCATCGTAACCATCGCGAGCCATTATCAACCCACTGCTAGTTGAAGGCTTCCTGAAGCTGCTGCTGTTGCTACATCTCACGGATCCTGGAATCCAACAATCCATCCGGCGAGCTGCACATGCACGGTTGTCATCGCTCCATCTCCACGAGCGGACGTTCTCTCTGGGCGGTCATCGGCGTAGTCAAACGTCTTAACTGGCTTTCGTGTGTACAGCCTGTTCTCCTATAACGATTGTTTTCATAACGCGAATTGGATATGGCGCGATTAATGTAGAAGGGAACACATTTTTTACGATGCGGATGCGCATAGGATAAAACATGACTGAGCGAACAGAACTACGTCACGCGAGCAAGAATAAGCGGTTGGACAGACGCTTCGGCATAGCATCACACAAGGCGGGATGCTGCTGGATGCTTCGAGTCTTTGTTCGGCCTGCGTACGCATCTGACATGTTATCGCCGACATGTGCTTTACCCCCTATATTATTTGTCACAACGCGATTTTTGGCCATAACGCGGTGCTTTTCGGGAACGCGGCAACGACCGGATTACCGAACAAGGCTGCATTTCGCTTCGACCAGCCGAGAAACTTGGGTTGAGACGGACAGGGAGTGGAGGGGGTCCACATTCGCAAGTGTGACCTGGTCACATCCGATTATAACTTTGCTTGTTCACTTGCGAGTGCCACGGCGGTGTAGCAACTCCACCGCGGCACATTGAGGAGCCGCTACTCACGGCCGACCCTTGCGAGTCAACAGTCCGCACCACCCGCGCCGGCAGGTCGTCTGGCCTCCGTCTCCACGCGCAAATGCATTGGCCGCAGCACGCCCCGGTACGGGGTCCAAAGTACAGGGCGGAGGTGGGGGATCTGCGGTGGCGCGAACCGCGACAACGCTTTTTGCCTTACGGACCGGTCGCCGTAAAGCTGGACATGGGCGCGGGCGATCGTCTCCAACGCCGCCAGCCGCGGTTATTTTTGCCATCCGTGGGTTTTGCGGCGTCGGCCGCAAAATTAAAACGCACGCGGGTTGCTGCGATTCTAAATAAAGACGATAACCGATTGTCGATTTACCAAACTTTCACCGACCACACGCAGATGGGACACGACCGGGAGTCGGAAACCTGCGAGCTCCGGGAGCCGGCGCGCGGTGGCTCTTTAGGGGACCGCTTCGTGGCGCGTTATTTATTAAAGGACCACCGCCGCCGTGGTCTCGTATTCACCCACCGGCGCACTGCGGCCTCTTGAAATATTTAGGGGTTTTATTTCTTTTGATTGCCGACCCCTGATCATGACTGACAGGGCGAGCCGAGGCCGTGAATTGTCGTGGGGTATGAGTGCATTAGAATTGTCTCTGGGAGGTGCATTGCGTCCGCTCAAACATTTGGACAGATTACAAAGAATTACTTTCACACAACCACACATCATCGTGATCAGCCATGGTTAAAGTGCCCACGTGGATGATTGTCTCCCCAATCCACCACCACTACTCAAGGGCTGCAAATGATTATTTCATAGTATTGCCATAATGCGGAAACGCTCGCGCTAAACCAACTTAAACACTTTCTTTAAATCAACGAGAATGTCATCTTTCCAGCGGCGGGTCCCCCCCTCTCGATTCCACCGGAACGATTGCTCCATAGCATTCGAGGAGCGTTCAGAACGACCTCACGGCGAGCGCGAAAGCCAGAGGTAAAACACGCAACGTTGCGACGCGCGCCCAAACGAGAGCAGGGCGACACTCGTGCACAACAGAC